CCTCCCCCCCCCCCCAGTGCACAAATTTCATGCACCAGGCCTCTAATAAATATACAACAGGCAGATCAAGCCTGTGGTTTCACCAATATTACTGCTATTAATGCTAAGAACAAGAAAAGGAAGTCAGCCCTGGCTGATGGCTCAGTTGGTTGGGGCATTGTCCCATACACTAAAAGGGTTGAGGATTCAATTCCCAGTCAGAGCACATACCTAGGTTTTGGCTTCAATTCCAGATCAGGGCATGTACAGGAGGCAACAGATCAGTGTTTCTCTCTCACATCAATGTCTCTCTCTCTCTCTCTCTCTCTCTCCCCCCCCCCACACACACACACACACACACACCCAAAAATCAATAAAAACATATTCTTGGGTGAGTGTTTAAAAAAAGGAAAAGAAAAGGAAGTCAATTACATCAACTTAAAGAAAATATTTAAGGTAGTGGAAAGGAGGTATGTATACGGCAAACAGTAAACAGGTGCATGAATAACAATATTTAGGAAACTTGGCCAAGGCGCTACTCATCCCTGTTGCCTGTGTGAATTATCAGCAGAAGGAGTTGGATCAGCACCTTGGAGAGCACACGTGCTGGGTCTGGGAGGGACCCCAGCCGCATCCCCATGCCAGTGGCCTCCTTAGTGACAGTCGGGCCCTCAAGCACTAAAGGAGAAGGCTAGGGTTTTGCTTTCACCTCTCAGGTTCTGATTTTAGTGCTGCTTAGATGCATATAGAGCAGTGGTTCTCAACCTTGGCTGCACATTAGAATCACCTGGGAATCTTTTTAAAATCCTGATTTCTGGGCCTCATCCTCTGGAAAGTCTGTTTCTTTGTTACTAATATTGTGGCCCCACCCCATAACAAAGAAACAGAATTTCCGGAGGATGAGGCCCAGAAATCAGGATTTTAAAAAGATTCCCAGGTGATTCTAATGTGCAGCTAAGGTTGAGAACCACTGATATAAAGTAACAGACCTGGATGGGACTTTTTGAAATGATAAATGTAATATGGGAGCCCCAGCTTCTAAAGGCTTTCCACTTTTTTCTTTTCTTTTCATACACTAACTTCCTATTTGATTTACCCCCAGCTTATGCTGTGCTTCAGGAAAAGCAGCACTAACACCTGGAACGTTCCATGATTTGAACCAAGGAAATGTCACTGGGAGGAGGAGCTTGAAGTCTTCTGCATGTGGGTGTGATAGATTGGGAGTTTTAAAGGGGAAAGCAGAAGGTCTCTTGTGTCCCCAAGAAAAACTCCAACAGCAGCTGAAAAGCAGAGTGTAGCTGAGAGATTAGCTTTCCACCACCATTGTTCTCCCGGCCTCCCTTGCATGAGGGAGGGCCATGCGACTAAGTTCTCTCTAACAGTGGGTCGGCAGAAGCGAAGGGTACCATTTCCAAACTAAGGCTTTTTGGAAGCAGCTTGAGCCTCCTCCATACGCTCTTTCCCCTCTGCCCCTGAATGTAGGCAGAACAAGGCCTTAGGAATTGATGGAGCCACATGAGATGGAAGGAACCTGGATCCCTTAACCACTACATGGAGGATGTGGGCGAGGACAGAAACACCCATCTGGTACTGCTGCAGGAGTGAAAAGGGAGCTTCCATGGTGTCTGAGCCAGTACACATGGGGGCGGGGGGGTTGGGGGGGGCGGTCCCACAGTTGAATTCACCCTGGCTAACAAAGGAGCCTAGTGCCCTGGCCGCACCCAGATCAACCAAGCCTGGCTGGGGGTCTGACCAGGAAGAGGAGGCCTTCTGAGAGCTCCATGTGCTGTGCCCGGTCTGTGTCCTTTGCCCGTCCTCCAGATATCACTCGAGTCCCTTTGGCCTGGAAGCCTTCCCCGCCTTCAGCGAGGCCACCCCCACTCCGCAGGCGCTCTCGGCGCATCTGACTCCGTGGCACATCGCATCTGTGTGATGTTTTAGATTAATATGTACATCCCCACAGGGTTTCGAAGTACATGTTTTTCAAAACTCATAGGCCGCTACACTTATTTGTGTCCTTCGTTGTATGTAAATTTCCCCTTAAAATAGTTAAAAACAAATATTGAATTCTGGTCCAATGATATGCACGCTGAAGAGTTTAGGGGCACAGTGTGCCAACACCTGCAGCTTGCTTTGAAATGCATGAAAGCGTGCGGGGTAGCAGCTGCCCTGCGGTGCTCTCCCCTTTAAGGGGTGTGATCTATCTGCCTGACAAGACTGCAAAACAGGAGACTCGGGCATCTAAATGTAAGACCACGGTTGGCAAACTAGGGTGGCAAAGGATAGCTACTTGTTTTGAAGGGTCACAGAGGTTTCTGTTATCCTAGTTGCTTTCATGACATACTGTTGTTGTCATTTATTTGATGCCATATCCCGAGTCTGAAACTGAACTTTCAATCATTATAACAGTTTCCATAGAAACATATCATCTATACTTGCCCGCTCCCTCACTGCTCCCCAATGGCCCGCTCTCCCACCTCTCCACCCACCCCCCAGCCCCAACCCTTTCCACGAGGCCCTCTGGAGCTTCCATTCCTCAATAAAAAACTCTCCAACCTACACTGTTAACTCTGGAGGTAACAAGGCCAAGAATAAAAATGCACATTTATGTTTGTTAAATTAACATGGAGACACTGGAAAGATGCAAATGAAATGAACAAAAGTGTTAACCTAAGGAGGGCAGTAGCAGAGAGGGGCCACGAAAAGATGCGAACTTGGGTGGGAGCAAGGCTTCAAAATATTTACCCTTTAAATATAATTTTAATGAGGAACCAGGGATGTAGTGCTTGCTAAAAATATAATTTAAAAAACTTTCCAACAGCCTCAGCCTATTAGAGCTCTTCATTTAGGCCACTTTCTTCCATGTCATCATGGAAACCGCCCCAACTTTGGATCTAAATGCCTCTGTTCTTAGCATCTTAAATCTCTTGACCTCATCCATTTGTTTTCATCCCCAGGCCTCCAGACTCCTTCTTTCTCACCAGGATACAACCTTCCTCCTGCTCTGACTTCCTCCCAGCCCGGTCTAGACACTGTCTGCATTCATCTATTCGCTCTACTTTTGCTGAGAACGTGCTGGAAGTGGGCATCCCTCATCCCAGAATCCTTACCTCCCTTATTACTGTAAACTCCACCCACCATCCACGCCTCCACATCTAGGCTGCTCAGAGCTGCTGGCAAAGATCATGCAGTGGGGTGGACCACTGCCATTACCAACTTCTTACTGGGTATGTGGGACTGCTCAGCAACCCTACTGTGTGCTCCTGCTCTCAACGCCCATCAGCAACCCTACTGCGTGCTCCTGCTCTCAATGTCTATCCCGCATGGGCCAGATCCCCAATCCATCTCAGCAGATGACCTGAGCCCCATAGAGAAAATCTAGCATTCAGTCTCGGCCCTGACTCAACTCAATCCACAGGCACTGGGAGTTCAGTGCTGAACACGACAGAGAAGGTCCCTGCTCTCGTGCAGGTCAGATCTTAGGAGGAGAAGAACGAAAAACCAATACAAGCAAGAAAAATATCACCAGGTGATGGGTGCTGCGAGAGTTAAATATAGTGAAGGATGAATGAGTGGCTCTCTGAGGAGGTGGTCTGGGAAGGCTTCCCAAAAGAGATGACCTCTAAGTCGCGTTGGGAATGACGAGAGGGAGCCAGCCACGCACCACAAACCCTCCAAGGCAGAAGGAGCTTTGTCTGTTTCACAGTCCCAGGAACCACCAAGCAGAGTGGGTGGCGGGAGGAAGAAAAGGAAGTTGTTGAGTGGGGTTTATATCAAGAGTCATAATTAAGAATGATGTAAGCCAACCCGGCCGGTGTGTGTCAGTGGTTGGACAAGGAGGTCACGGTTAGAAACCCAGTCGGGGCACATGCCTGGGTTTTGGATTCGATCCCCAATGTGGGGTATGCAAGAGGCAGCCAGTCAATGGTTCTCTCTCATCATTGATGTTTCTATCTCTTTCTCCCTCTCCCTTCCTCTCTGAAATCAATAAAAATATGTTCTACAAAAAAGAATGATGTAAGCCACAACATAGGATAGAATTTATTCTAATTGTGAAGAGATGTCATTGGAGTGTTGCAAGCAGGGGGGTGCCTTGACCTAATGTAGTGTTTTAAGAATGACTATGGCTGCTACAAGGAAGGGGTATTACTATAGCTCGCGGGTGAGCAGGAAAGCAGCAAGGAGCTTCTGCAGCAGTCAGTGGTGTACACGGTTAGCGTAGGTTGCATGGGGAGCGTGGAGAGAAGTGTCAGTGCAAGACGTGCTCTGGGGAAGCAGGTGCTGGGACTCACCAGCTGACTCACAGCTGGGGTATGAGCAGGGTGAGGGCAACTCCAGGATAACTCATATCTTTACTTAAGCTACAGAGATGGGAAAGAAACTTGTATTCTTTGCACACCCGAGTTCATGGTATGAGATTTATACTAGACATATCTGTGGCACACAAAGGGCTTAAAAGGCTCAATGCAACACTAAACAAGTCAGGAATACTTATAATACCATCTCAGGTTCAGTAAAACAGTCTCTCCAGGCATCTATAAAAGCATCCAGAACCACTCTACGAGGCCCGGGTCATCCTTCAACTGTGCTGCTATGTGAAAGGCACTGTCTCCATTCTTGGCTGCAAGAGTGATCTTTTCCAAAAGGCAAATCTGATTGTGTCACTTCTCTGCTTAAAATCTTTCAGAGGCTCTCCACTGCACTGTGAGTAAAATCCAAACTCCCCACCACAGCTCATAAGGCTATGCATGACCAGGCCCTGCCCATTTCTTCAACCTCACATCCTACTACCTCCCTCATTCATGACATTTTGGCCCCAACTCCTGATGATACCTAAAATGTACCAAGCCCTCCCTACCCCAGGACCTTTGCACATGCTGTTCTCGCCTAGCTCTTTGAATGTTTAGCTTGTTCATTCTCATCCTCAGGTCTCAGTTTGTATGTCACCTTCTCAGATAAATGTGTTCGCCTTTTTAGTAATTTTTTTCTGGAGCAGGTACAACCACCAAACCACACTGTACCTTGCCAAAGCTGCCTTTCCCAAGCACCATCAGGAAGTTAAAATCACTCAGCTTCATCCGGTCCCTGTTCCCATTGTTGTCAAATTTGGCTATGGTGTTGGTAGTTTTTTCTTCTGGAGTCTTGGGTGTCTGGCCAATCTTGGCCCTCTGGAGGGGGAAACACAAGACACATCATTAAAAAGCCAAGTCATAAACCGGAAAAAAAAAAAAAAAACACATGATTAAGGTTTGAAGATGCCTTTGTAGGAAGACACATATAGACATGCATGGTGTGGTTCCTGCCACTCACACACCCCTATCCCATGAAAAGCATGGCCAACAGCCCACTCTGCAAGGCCAGAACCTGGAGGCCATCCTTGGCACCTCCATTTCTCTTGAAGCCCTCACATCTCACCAGGAGCAGTCACCTTTTCCTCCACGCGGCCTCTAGAATTCATCTTCTTTCCATCTCCACCAACATCACCTGCCATCAGCCCTCACCTGGACAGTCACCTTGGTTCCCTCCACACTGGGCTTCACATGAAGCCAGAGCAAGATTCCACTTCCTCACACCCAACCGAGTCACTACCTGCTTAAAATGCTTCAGTGGTGACTCATTTTTAGGATAAAGACCTTGAAGCATGTACTGGCCAATATGGCCCAGCACGATTGGGCCCTACCTGGCTCTCCTACCACATCACTCCTTGAGCCCTTCTTCCCTGCAACCCGGCTTCATTCTTTCACCTCCCACCTCAGGGCCTTTGCACATGCTCTTGCTTCTCTCTGGATGGCTATTCTCTCCCCTTCCTTCTTTCGTCAACTTAGTTACCCGTTTCACTTCCTCGGGCAAGTCCTCCTTGATTCCTTGTGTCTGGACTAAGTATCCCTACTAGTATTTGCTTCCTTCATTCATTTCACCTCCCATTTATACTGGATGATAACTGCCTGTTCACTTTTCGCCCCAGGCGCACTGAAAACAGTGAGGGCACAGAGTATATCTCATTCTCCACAGTTTCCCTGACAACCAATATAGTTTCTGGTCAAATGGATAAATGAATGGGTGAGGCAAAGGGGGAGGGACCTGCTTCTGTGAGCAGCAAAATAGTGACTCAAATGGCAGCAAATGCTCTGGAACAAGAAGAGATAGGAGAACAGCAGGGAGACCTGCAGCTGCCAGGGCCTTGTTACTGGATTTGCTTCTAGGAGTGAGAAAATTGTGGCATTAAAAGCTCAGCTTAGAATTCCCAACTCTGGCAGTGGACAAGCTGTGTAATCCTGGCTCACAACACTCCTCCACCAAACATCCCAGACCTTCCTGTCTCTGTCAGAGAAACAGGCAAAGTCCACAGATAACCTTGCCCCTCTGCACTCTCTTATTTCAGCCCCTTCTCCTTGCTATAACCACATGGCCTCATTGCCGTTCTCTGAAAGCACCAAACACATTCTTTTCCCAGGGCTTTTGCACTTGCTTTCTCTTGTGACTGGAGGTCTTTCCCCAGAGCTCCCTCACCTCTAAGAGATCCCAAGTGCCTGACATGAAATAGCTCTCAGCAATCTCCCTCCTCCTTATTTACTTTATTTTCTTCATATCTCTTATCACCACCTACAAACCAGATATGTACTTGTTTCTTAACTTCCTGTCTTTCTCCTCACACTAGAACACAAGCTCCATGAAGACTGCCTACCACCACAGAGAGGCACTTACTTGCATTTGCTTAATGAACCTTTCTAAATCTCAGTCCCCTTTCCAAGAAGATGAGTTAATGACATGAGAAAATGTATCACAAAGTTCTCAGCACCATTCCCGTCACTTAGTAGATGCTCAGTGGATGGTAGACATTATTATTGTTGCATTACTCACTTGTCTTTATAAGGCAAAGAGGCAACAAAAAGCTTTCCATGGAATTTAATATCAGGGAAGATTCATTCATTCATTCAAGAAATACTTATTGAGTGCCTGCTACATGCCAGGTATTGCCCTAGATTCCGAGGCTCCATCAGGGAGCAAAGCAGATACAGATGCTCAAAGAATTTGCATCCCAGCAGGAATTGGGTCCTCTGCACAAAATGTATTTAGGAGTTATCCAGGTGAAGAATTTGAGTCAGCAGCAGAAAGCCTTTACAGAGCCGACAACAAGACACATTCAAAGACTAAAATCTGTCTGGAGCACTGATGGCCAGGCAGATGTGGCCTGGGAGGCAGTCAGGAGCTGAGAAAGCCTTGCACACCCCATCAAGGTCTGGGCTGATCTGAGCACAGGAGGCTGTCACAGGGCCCTGGGAAGAGCACGCTGAGTTTAGGGAAGGGACCCAGTTAGAGGAGGCCAGTTTGAAACCTTTAGGAAGTGACTGCAGTCATCACGGTGAGAAATGGCGGGGCCTGGCTCAGTGTCTGCAGGGTGGAGGGAATGAAGCGGGAGACAGACTTCTCAGGGCTGGACACGGATGGGGGAGGGAGGTCAGGAGTGAAGGACCGCTCTGTTTGAAGCACCTGGGAGGGTGGTGGCGCTCTTCAGTGAGATGAGACGTGGGGGAGGGTAAACTTGGGCGTGTGAGCGGAAGGGGGAAGGGGTGGCTAGTCTGATTTCAGTCAGCGAGATTCCCCCTGCCCTGAGCCTTAAAACTGCCCAGTGTCTGTCTTCTCCACGGGTGGTTCTGCCAGCATTCTGCTTGTCATGCTGACAAAACACCCACCATTTTTTTTCGTTTTAATGTTTTAAAGGTTGAGGTGGATAGAGTGAAATGCATAAATCTTAGGTGTGCAGTTCTGTGAGTTCTGACAAATGTATACACACAAGTAACCCAAACCCAGATCAGGATGCAGAACATTTCCACCCTCAGGAAGTCCTGCGGCCCCTCCCTCCTTCCCACACAGGACTCCCTGCTCCCCCCTCCATCCCTGGAGGTCAGTGTTGTAGCGTCACCTACATGGAGCCATAGGATGTGACACAATAAGAAGTATATGTTTGGTCTCTGCCCCTGGTTTTCCGGACAAAGAGCTCCTGAAGCCCTTGGAATCTCCTGGGTGACAGGGCTGCGGGGATCATCCTTTGTTCTACTATTTGGCCTTTGATCCGAGTTCCTAAAGCCCTTGTGATTTCCTGGGTAATAGGAGCATCCTTTTTCCTAACACGGGGACTCCTGGTGGGCTCCTGAATGTCCTCTGGATGGAGGCTGTCCCAGCTGGACCAACCATGACTGGGAGCTTGGTTCGACCCCCATCTTCTGGGGCTGGAGATGGAGTTAATAACCGATCAATTGTGCCTGCATAATGAAGCCTCACAAATTCCTCAAACTGCGGGGTGTGCAGAGCTTCTGGGGTGGTGGACACATGCACATGCTGGGAGGGTGGTGCACCCAACCCCAGGGCCCGGTGGGACATCCTCTCCACACGGGGCTGCTGGCCCAGGACCCCTGTGGCCCTGCCTTGGGCTCCCCTGGTGCACGAGCACACAGCAGGGCAAGTGGGAAGTGCTGGCAAGTTACCTCCCTGGAAGCAGCCCTCAGCACGAAAGGAAGGGCCCGGGTGGGAACTTCAGCCTCCTGCCCCTCGACTGGGAACCCTGAGCACACGTGCAGTTCCCAGTGGACGAAACCCCGGGTGCCCACAGCGTACGTGGCTGACAGCACGTGCACTTCGGCCCCCTGCTTCCCGCACATCCCTTCGGACCTCCTCCAGAGAAATGCCTGCGCTCGAGTCCTTACATTTCCGTCCGCTGCCGGGGACTCGCAAGGTAGGGCAGTGAGCAGTGTGGGATGTGAGAAAGCGGCTGAACCTCTTGGGGCCTCATTGGGGAAAGAGACATGGGGCTGCTAATAGCATCTACCATTCAAAGTGGTCACGAGGAGGAAATTCAACGAGTTAGTATTTCCAAAGCACTTAAAATAATACACAGCACATGGTCAGCACGTTTAAATCTAAAAACGCTAAGAAATTTTTTAGAAAAATCTCAGAAAACCCATTCTGAACATCCAGAATGGTGCCTTCCCTTCCCTGGCCCATCGGCAAGCCCACAGTCAGAAGACAGTCCTTCAGCCCACTCCGACCTTCTGGAATGCACCACACGTGGCAGCTGCACCCCACACACCCCAACTGTGAAGTATTACCCCAACTCCAGCAGCTTGACTTTACCATCACTCGGAATTTCTCCAGATCAGAGAATTGAAAATAATGTCTGAGTCATTCTAGGTGCTAATTGGTTATTGCACAGGGATTACAATTTCTCCCGTTCAAGGTCAACTGAAACTCCTCCGTGTGTCTGAGAACAGTTCTCAGTCTGTTGGAAACATGTTTTAGCCAACAGCTTTGGCCCAGAGCGATTATCACCCAGGTACACGCCAGCACGCGCGAGCTCCTGCCGGAAGCAAGGGACGAAACAGCCCGTTCCCTCACGCCAGGAACTGGCCCCGGCAAACGCTCTGCTCGCGCAGGAAACGTGATCCTTGTGTTCCTTCTGCCCGAGGACAGAAGAAATCATTTTGCAAAGTTGCAACTTCACTGTGTACAAGGAAAGGCTGCCCTGGTGTTTTGTCACCCACAGTAACACACTTACCAGCAGCAAATGGACACGCCCTCGGGGGAGGGAGAGACAGAAACGGTCTCAGGAAGGACTGTTTATCAGTCAGTGTCCAGCTCTCAGCATGGCTGGGTGGGAAGTCCGTCCATCAGCGCCTCTGGCCTTGACCCAAGTATACGGGAATGACCCTCAGTTACCAAGTTCAGCTTAAGCTCAAGGCCAGCATGCTTATTCCACTTGCTTCCAGGAAAGGAAATCCCACGGGGTCAGGGCTGTCACCATCGTCCAGGTTTTGTGGAGGGCACAGGCTCAAGATATGGGTCAACACTCAAGTGCTGTTTCTGTCAAGTTCAGGGGAAAACTAACACGGCTCTCGAAATAAAAGGCAAATCCTTGCTATGGCCAGCACAGACCTTCTGGGCCTGCCCCCGCACTGCAGCCCTGCCTCAGCTCAACTTCGGCTCTCCCTTCTCTCCCACAGTGCCTTGTGGCCGGTCTCATGCTGCGGCTGCCACTCCCTGCCACAGGGCCTTTGCACGTGCTGCCCTCTCTGCACGGCATGCTTCCCCTCTTTACTTGGTAACTCCCGCTGCTGTTTCCTCAGGGACGCCATCCCCATGCTCCAGACAAGCTTACATTCCCTCTACGTCCTCAAAGTACCGTGGGCCCCTCGTCCAAAGAACGTTCCCTGGTTGTATTTTTTCATTTGCTTGTGGGGTTTTTGATAGATAGCAGTGATGGTGATCTGTTTTTCTAGCTATGCTGTACATTTTTTCAGTCAGTAAACCACCGCTGCTTATCTAAAATTGGTAAACATGAACAAAATCGTGTTTTCCCTCATGGAACAACTTTAAAAACACTCAGTACACAAATAATGAAAGAACGCAGGCCCCTCTTCCCAAAACGCTTTCTCTGTGAAACTGGGATGTACCCTCATCCAGCTGCTCTCAGGCAGATGAAAATAGGGTCTATTGGCCCCACAGAAGGGAAGGGGGTGTCGGAGGCAGAAGCAGAGCCAGCACTAGAGCCCAAGGTCAGGGCCAAGGTCAGGGCTCGGACTCTTTGGAAGATACACCCACTGGTATTTCATGGAGTCACCAGCACAGTCAGTTCCATTTCTCCACATGACAGCACCACCTGCCAATACACCCAACCCAGACTCTACCCCTCAGCAAACCCCCTGACTCAGCCGCCAGAACACATTCTGTCACTGTGTTCACCATCACCCCCGCCCCCGACCACAGCACCAAAACACCCGGCAGAGAACGAGCACTTTCCAGAAAAGTCTAGAGCTGCAGGAACACGGGGCGGCAGGGATGGCCTCACAAGGCAGGGACATTTAACTGAGGTCTTGGAGGCTAAATCGTAGTGTTCTGGGAGACACCATGGCCTGGGGTTAGGAAAGGCCACGCTAGGAACAGCGCCATGAAGGGGACAGACAGCACAGGCAGGCTCCCCGGTTCCCACGGAGGCAGAGAGACAGACAGCTCACCTCAAACTTCTGCCGCAGCTCCTCGTTGCCTTCGCCTCCTTCCGGCGGCACGGGCACGTTGAAGTACTCGCCCTCCTCCTGGCTCAGCAGCTTAAACCTAAAGGGAGACAGGGCCAGGATCTCATCGGCAGAACCAGGGGAGGCCTAGGCAAGCTCTACTCTGACATGCGGAGGGTTTTGTTCTGGTGTGTGTGTGTGTGTGTGTGTGTGTGTGTAGCCAGGTGTGCTAATGTATTTTTATTTTTGTAACTATTCTATGGACATCAGAAAAAGTACATTCTGTGCTTAAAGGATGTAACGTGCTCCCGTTCTCTCCCCCCACAAGTGTCTTAGTCATATCGCTCCATACCGCAAGTTGGCGCCTACTGTTTGCCCCCGGGGTGATTTCTGTTCTGGAAGCTGCTCTGAAGCTCTCCGTGCCCGCGTCCCTGTCCCTGTCCCAGCACTGCAGCACCCCCTCTTTCACGCACGCTGCGGCGTGCTGCCCGGGCACTGGGCACTCGCATGGCTGTGCCCCAAAGTGCTTGGACTCGAGAGAAACAGATGCCCTCGGTGGCCAGGGACACGAGTCCTGGAGTCGGCCTCCGTCTCTGCCCAAGTCGCACTTCTGCCTTTGCCTCCAGGACACCCCTGGGCACGCTGGCTAAGCCCCGAGTCTTGAGTTTTCTCATCTTCAAAGGGAATGAAAGCCTCTTTGTCATTGGATCATTGTGAAGCCGATATGATGATGCATGAAAAATGGGCAGAGTCCTGGCACTTAGCATGTGTTCAATAAAAGGCGCATCATCACCATCACTGATACTAATGTCATTAAATAAACTCAATGCTTCCCTTTTCCCTGACCACCAAGACGCGTCCCCCGGTCGGTGAGAGGAGAGCAAGGAAGGAAAAGGCGTCGGCAGGCATTCGAGTCAGGAGGGAGAGAGCCCCAAGCGCCAAGCTCCGCCAGAGGCCTCCTAACCACGAGGGGCATCATTCAACCCCTTTCTCCACAGTCCCGTTCTCCACTCACTAATCACCCCTTTCTCCACAGTCCCATTCTCCACTAACTAATCACCCCCTTTCTCCACAGTCCCTTTCTCCACTCACTAATCACCCCCTTTCTCCACAGCCCCGTTCTCCACTCACTAATCACCCCCTTTCTCCACAGTCCCGTTCTCCACTCAGTAATCACCCCCTTTCTCCACAGTCCCTTTCTCCACTCACTAATCACCCCCTTTCTCCACAGTCCCTTTCTCCACAGCCCCTTTCTCCACTCACTAATCACCCCCTTTCTCCACAGCCCCTTTCTCCATTCACTAATCACCCCCTTTCTCCACAGTCCCTTTCTCCACAGCCCCTTTCTCCACTCACTAATCACCCCCTTTCTCCACAGCCCCTTTCTCCATTCACTAATCACCCCCTTTCTCCACAGCCCCGTTCTCCACTCACTAATCACCCCCTTTCGCCACAGCCCCTTTCTCCATTCACTAATCACCCCCTTTCTCCACAGCCCCGTTCTCCACTCACTAATCACCCCCTTTCTCCACAGTCCGTTCTCCACTCACTAATCACCCCCTTTCTCCACAGCCCCTTTCTCCATCACTAATCACCCCCCCTTTCTCCACAGTCCCTTTCTCCACAGCCCCTTTCTCCACAGCCCGTTATCCACTCACTAATCACCCCCTTTCTCCACAGCCCCTTTCTCCACTCACTAATCACCCCCTTTCTCCACAGTCCCGTTCTCCACTCACTAATCACCCCCTTTCTCCACAGCCCCTTTCTCCACTCACTAATCACCCCCTTTCTCCACAGTCCCTTTCTCCACTCACTAATCATCCCTTCTCCACAGTCCCTTTCTCCACTCACTAATCACCCCCTTTCTCCACAGTCCCTTTCTCCACTCACTAATCATCCCCTTTCTCCACAGCCCCTTTCTCCACTCACTAATCACCCCCTTTCTCCACAGTCCCTTTCTCCACTCACTAATCATCCCCTTTCTCCACAGTCCCTTTCTCCACTCACTAATCACCCCCTTTCTCCACAGTCCCGTTCTCCACTCACTAATCACCCCCTTTCTCCACAGCCCCTTTCTCCACTCACTAATCCACCCCCTTTCTCCACAGTCCCTTTCTCCACTCACTAATCATTCCCCTTCTTCCACAGTCTCTTCCCAGTCCCTTTCTCCACTCAATCACCCCCTTTTCTCCACAGTCCTTTCTCCACTCACTAATCATCCCCTTTCTCCACAGTCCCTTTCTCCACTCACTAATCACCCCCTTTCTCACAGTCCCTTTCTCCCACTCACTAATCATCCCCTTCTCCCACAGTCCCTTTCTCCACTCACTAATCACCCCCTTTCTCCACAGTCCCTTTCTCCACTCACTAATCACCCCCTTTCTCCACAGTCCCTTTCTCCACTCACTAATCATCCCTTTCTCCACAGTCCCGTTCTCCACTCATTAATCACCCCCTTTCTCCACAGTCCCTTTCTCCACTCACTAATCACCCCCTTTCCTCACAGTCCCTTTCTCCACTCACTAATCATCCCCTTTCTCCACAGTCCCGTTCTCCACTCACTAATCACCCCCTTTCTCCACAGTCCCTTTCTCCACTCACTAATCATCCCCTTCTCCACAGTCCCTTTCTCCACTCACTAATCACCCCCTTTCTCCACAGTCCCTTTCTCCACTCACTAATCACCCCCTTTCTCCACAGTCCCGTTCTCCACTCACTAATCACCCCCTTTCTCCACAGTCCCCTTTCTCCACTCACTAATCACCCCCTTTCTCCACAGTCCCGTTCTCCACTCACTAATCACCCCCTTTCTCCACAGTCCCTTTCTCCACTCACTAATCACCCCCTTTCTCCACAGTCCCGTTCTCCACTCACTAATCACCCCCTTTCTCCACAGTCCCTGTCTCCACTCACTAATCACCCCCTTTCTCCACAGTCCCTTTCTCCACTCACTAATCACCCCCTTTCTCCACAGTCCTTTCTCCACTCACTAATCACCCCCTTTCCCCACAGTCCCTTTCTCCACTCACTAATCATCCCTTTCTCCACAGTCCCTTTCTCCACTCACTAATCACCCCCTTTCTCCACAGTCCCCTTTCTCCACTCACTAATCACCCCCTTTCTCCACAGTCCCCTTTCTCCACTCACTAATCACCCCCTTTCTCCACAGTCCCTTTCTCCACTCACTAATACCCCCTTCTCCACAGCCCCTTTCTCCATTCACTAATCACCCCCTTTCTCCACAGTCCTTTTCTCCACTCACTAATCACCCCCTTTCTCCACAGCCCCTTTCTCCATTCACTAATCACCCCCTTTCTCACAGTCCTTTCTCCACTCCACTAATCACCCCCTTTCTCCACAGGCCCTTTCTCCACTCACTAATCACCCCTTTCTCCACAGTCCCTTTCTCCACTCACTAATCACCCCCTTTCTCACAGTCCGTTCTCCACTCACTAATCACCCCCTTTCTCCACAGTCCCGTTCTCCACTCACTAATCACCCCCTTTCTCCACAGTCCCTTTCTCCACTCACTAATCACCCCCTTCTCCACAGTCCCGTTCTCCACTCACTAATAACCCCCTTTCTCCACGTCCCTTTCTCCACTCACTACTCACCCCCTTTCTCCACAGTCCCGTTCTCCACTCACTAATCACCCCCCTTTCTCCACAGCCCCTTTCTCCATTCACTAATCACCCCCCTTTCTCCACAGTCCCGTTCTCCACTCACTAATCACCCCCTTTCTCCACAGTCCCGTTCTCCACTCACTAATCACCCCCTTTCTCCACAGTCCCTTTCTCCATCACTAATCACCCCCTTTCTCCACAGTCCCTTTCTCCACTCACTAATCACCCCCTTTCTCCACAGTCCCTTTCTCCACTCACTAATCACCCCCTTTCTCCACAGTCCTTTTCTCCACTCACTAATCACCCCCCTTTCTCCACAGCCCCTTTCTCCATTCACTAATCACCCCCTTTCTCCACAGTCCCTTTCTCCACTCACTAATCACCACCTTTCTCCACAGTCCCTTTCTCCATTCACTAATCATCCCGGGCAGCTTCTACACGTAAGGGCTCGGAGAGTCAGGCAGAGGTGACCAGCGGGCCTCCACATTTAATATCCAATTCTCCCCTTCACAGTTCCCACTGGAATTCCGAAAGGAACGCAAAAGGGAGAACATCTGAGTCTTTGCCAGAAGTCATTAAGGGTGCCCCGCACACAGCAGGGATTCTGGGAATCTCCACCAAGTAAAGTCACAGGACGAGGCATGGAGGGGGGTTGGCACACTTTGTTCACCTTCGTGGATCTCGATAAATCTGGATATTATCAACTAATGATTTTCACTACCTTATCTCTTTTTTAAATAATAAATTCACTTTGAAAGGACACTTGATCTCTCTTATACAGAAGGCCAACATAACTTGTTACAAGGACTAGGTAACGTAAAAATATACACATATCAACTCGATGGTGCCCAAGTCTAAGTAGACGGTAGAAGCAAAAGCTCTGCGCCCAGTGCCACCTCCTTGTTAAAGCAGGAGGCGAGCGGCAGCCCAGCGGTGACACCCCTGCCTCCAGCGAGGCCACCTGTCAGTCACTTAGCCGCCGTCCTAGTGGCCAGAGCGGCTGTCCCAGGACCCCAGGGCTTATATTCAAGTCACCCTTGTTTTACCCAAGAGTGGCCCCAAAGCCTAGGAGGCGTGAAGCTGGCATCGGATACGTCAAGAGGAGCCATGGGTGCTTCCTGTAGTGAACAGGTGTGTGTGTAGGAGAAACATGGCCTGTGCGGGGTGCGGTACCATCAGGAGTTCCAGGAGAGCAGTGGGGTCCACCCACGGATAAGAGGGGCCACTGTGGAAGCCGCTGGGAAGGAAATTAACACTCCACCTGCAGACCTTGCTTAAGCAACAACAGCTAGAACGCAACCTGTCAGAACATGGAGGAAATCTCTTCCCTCCAATGCCTGATCGTTGTTTTTAAAGCGCGGAAGAAGTTAAGAGAGGAAAACACATTAGCAAAATGTTCAGCTGAAATCCAAAGAGCACAACACAAACTTCCAGGAAGGAGACAAAGAAGCGATCCTCTGGGGGGAAACAACAATAAGACAGACGAACCTCTGGAAAAGGGGAAGCAAGGAGACAGCATAAATAAATGGGGAGCCGAGAGGAGAATCGGGCTCAGAGGGAGCTGGTGGCAAGGCAGCGGGGCCTGAGGCTGGCGCCCGCCGGGCGTGGCTTACTCCAGACCACAGAGTGTTAAAAGAATCCCTGGAACAGAACCCAAATTTCTAGAATTCGGTACATTTAGAGCTAAAACAGAATCAGAGATGTTTTGACCCTAAATCTGAAGAGGACATTCATCTGCAAAATCTGAAGAGGGCTTTTATTTTGCAAAAGTGCCCTCCCAACTACAATGTCATCCACTTCACAGCTTTCCTAAAAGGTGGAGGGGGCGGGGCTGTAATTTCCGTGGAGAGCGAGTCCTAGCTGCTGAGAGGGCCACGGCAGAGAGCGGACAGGGCTCCGAGTCCCACGCACCCGTCCCGCTAGGAGGCTCTGTGGTCCGGCTCGGCCCCTGTGGCAGGAGGCAGGGTGCATGTGCTTGTGCTTAGGCTCTGCCACTGCCATGACCTGGGCCGAACCCCAGACCTGTCACTTCTGAGCCGTGTGCCCCCCTCACCTTGCTGAACTACCCTGATCCCAGGAACAGTGCTCTGCCCAGAGCGGCTGGAGAATTCACGTGCCATGCAGGTGTACACGCAGTAATAATGGGCCGTGGTCCTGACGTGCTGTCCCTCACCATGAAGCATCTGTCCTGCCTGCACTCTGCTGTGGGGCCAGGAGGGCGGCGGCACCTGTGGCCACAGCCCTGCCCTCTGGGGCCCAGAGAACCCTGGGAAGGAGAAGGGTGAGGGTGGGGGGAAAGCAGGAGCCTACAGGGAGGGCCAGAGAGAGCAGCTGCGGGCGGGGAAAGGTAGAGGGCTCTCCACGCAGGAGACTTGGACATGAGGGGCAAGATGTGCTGAGGGGTGCAGCCTGGCGGTGGCCTGGGGGTTGGGACAAAGAGAATAATGTGGGGGGACCTCCCAGAGGCGAAGAGCAGGAGCTGGGACTCCAGCATGAAGCCAGATGGGGCCCCACAGCTGCACAGTCCCCCACCCCCCCGCCCCGAGCTCACATGTAGTAAAGGGGTTCTCTGCACATCTGGTCACCGCTCATCCGTGTGACTCCCGATCTGGCGAGTGGTCAGCCTAGTGCCAGCAACCCAGTGAGACGGTATGGCAGCGGCTGCTGCTGCAATAATCATCGTCTCCCAGTGTCTTCTCTCCGTCTCCCCAGACCCCCGGGTCCCGTGCCCTTCCTCTGCCCTCTCTAGGCCTGACTTAAGGAGGAGGGACATGGAATCTGGGAGTGGTCACGGGGCAGTGTGCAAAGGTAATGCATCCATCTGTTAAGAACAATGATCCAAAACTTGGGTGAAAGGCAAGAAGATGACGGTGTGACCTGTTAATATCCTGCTGGAGCATTTTCTAATGAGCCCCCTCCTCCCTCACAGCACTATCACCTGCTCCCAACCCAGTGGGGCCCAGACAGCCCAGCTCTGCAGAGATGAGCTAACTTAGAGTGGGTGAGATTCGGTCCTCTGTCCCCACGTCGACACCTGCTCAGCGGCCGTTTCCTCCAACTCCCGGTCACGTCAGCCTTCCTCCTACCGACACACACCTTGGGGCCAGTGGCTCCGCCTCCTGGTTTCCTCCTGGTGAGCTAGGGGAGCCCTGGCAAATTCTCCTTTATGAGAATGGTGTCTTTAACCATTTGTGCATTGTGCTTCAAGGCACCTGCTTCTTTTCTTTTTTGCCCTGGGCTCTGTCCTCTTGGCTTGTCTGCTCCTGCAGTGATTCGCTCTCTAACTTCCTCCTCAAGGCCTCCCCCTCCGGAAGCCAGCTCTGCAGAGCACGTCTGTCCACACTCAGGTACTAGTACCTCTAGCGACAGACGGAGTGGACACGCAGGGCGAGTTTGAAGAACCCCCGGTCAGTAGGAGGAGAGACAAGGCATTTGCAAGGTGGTCCCGGTAATCCGGTCTCTTTCTTGCTATACCAGTTTGATTTGGACTGACTTTCACTTATAACTGAAAAGGCCCCGGGACCACTCAGAAATGCGAGAATTTCTCTTCCAGAAGCCAGAGCTGCCATGACCACTCTCCCAAATGGACAGCGCCAGTGGGACCCTCGGATGCCTTCACCTAGATGGCTGCCCAGGGGGCTCCCCAGCCTCCTTGTTGGGAACACGGGGCATGGAGTTTCTGCCTGAGGAAGGGACCAGGGCAAAAGCTCAGACAAAGGAGACATGCTGCTGCCCGGCCAGCCAGCCCAGCGTGGCCGCAGTCCGGGAAGGAGACTTCTAAAGAGGCCCACATCTGGCAGTGGCGCACGCGTCTTTGGGGTAAATTGTGAGAGCTGCTTTCTAGCCATGGGGTCAGTTAGGCCACATAACTGTGCGAAGTGGGGCTGGTGTAAAACAATAGGGAGTGGTGGGGACTGTGGCAAATACAAAATCCTGTCTAAGCAACATGAAGTCTCCTGCTGTTCTCATTCGATTGGGCCCGGTGTGCCCAGATTTTTCTGGTTTTTCAAGACATAAATCTAGATTTTTATGGGAAGTCCTGACTTTTAAAATATTGGCAATTAATTCTTTTTCGTTCTTTTCAGCACGAGGACCAAATAAAATGTATCAGTGAGGCCAGTCCAGTCTACCAGCCTTCACTCTGCGACTCGGCTTCAGCACTTCGCTTGCAGGAGGAAAAGGGGGACAGTCTGGGTCCCACGCTTGAAGGACCCGGCTGTCCTACGGCTCCCAAAGCAAACCTTCCTTACCAGCCATCCACCCCCGCCTTCTGCAGCTCAGAAATCCCGAACGACAGGGAGCCCATGAAGTCGTTCCGGCTGGTCAGATCCCAGTCCCAAATCTCCACGGACAGCCTCCGGTCTTTGTCCGATTCCTTCAGCTGGCTGCAGGGAGAAAGACAGGGAGGTCAGTGCCTGCGACAGTGATCTCGCCAGCAGGTGAAACGTGCCAGAGGACAAGGCCCAAAGGCGTAAGTTTTTAAAGATTACAAGCTGTTGCAAGAAATCTATTCCCTTTCCATCCCGGGCCGCTCCAGGAGGAAGCGCTTTCTCTGACAGCCTGTGGCTCAGGAGAGGCAACTCCTGCTGCCTCCCTCCGTCCTATCGGGGCTATGGTGTGCTGGAAATCTTGTCACAGAGTCGCTGTGGGAAATAGGGTGTCGATTATGTCATTGTGTGGGTGTCAGCACACATGTGGGTCACAGGGCGAGGCTGGGGAAAGGCTGGAGAAAGCCTCCCAGGTGCTGGTCTGGGGAGAATGCATATTCGGGGCATCTCCTTGACTAAGGCTGCGATGGGCCCCTAGACGGGCTTTGAGAGAAAGAGGGGACAAGGCTATGCTCAAGGAATCATGCTTGGAGCCCGCAGCCTCTAAGTCACTCTCAAAGGCTGACGCTCCGTCCCGTGCTTGCTGCGGGGCTCGGGGCACATTCTCTAAGCCCCGTGGGTAAAATGGGTTGAAATGGCCAATGGAGCCAGACCATTCAATACAGTGCTTGTCACACATAGTATGTGCTCAATAAGCACCGGCGACACCCCTACCCCTGCTGGCCCAGGCGTGTCGAAAGCGACCCCGGGTTCTCGGAGCACCGGCCCGGGAAGGCCCTCCATGGAAGCTGGCAGCAGCGCCCAGCGGGTGCAGGCCCAGCATTTTCCATAAGGTCAGCCCCGGAGAGGTTAGCACCACACCCTATGGGTTTGCGGAGACCCTGAGCTTCCCACAGCTTGCCTTCACCTAGCAACACATCACACTATTTTCTATGCCACCCACTCCCCCACACCACAGACATTCTCAACTCTATTAAAAAAAATGGGCTCGATGTTTACTTGGCTTGCAATGCAAAAATGCAGATGGAAGGGGAGGAAAAGGAGGAAGGAAAGAGTGGGAGAGGAAATGGGGGAGGGAAGGAGGGAAGGAGGGAGGGAGGAAGGGTGGGAGGAGGGAGGGAGGGAAGGAAGAAGGGAGGGAGGAAGGGAGGGAGGAGGAGGAAGGGTGGGAGGAGGGAGGGAGGGAGGAGGGAGGGAGGGAGGGAGGGAGGGAGGGAGGGAGAAAACAGCTGGGAGAGGAACTCCCCATCTCCGGTGGCCCACCCCCCATGCTGGGCTGCAATAATTTCAACTTACAATCTGAATGTCTCGTTCCACTCGGGGTTGAGGGAGCACTTGATGGTTTTGGTCTTCTGTTTGCTCTCACTTTTTGGGTCAGGAATGAGTTTCAGTTTCACATAGGGATCTGACAAGCCATTGGGGTCCATGGGGACAAGGTTTTTAGCATCTCTTACTGAAAAGAGAGAAAGCACTTTCAGCATGAATAACGCCCAGAACGTTTAAGCACCAATGGGCAATCGCTGTAGAGCCTGTGGGAGGGCTCTTGGCACCACACTCACTTAATGGCAATTTTATTTTATTAACCTCAATAGCTAAGATGGGATAGGGGGAGAATGGTGAGTGACTACTTAGTGGGTATGTGGTTTTCTTTACAGGCGATAAAAATTTCTTGGATCTAGACAGAGATGATGGCTATGTGCACACTATGAATGTACTAACTGCCATTTTTTTCTGTTATGTGAATTTTACTCAATTCAAAAAGAAAGAGCTAGAAGAGAAACAGATGTTCACTGAACCAAGGTACACCCATCATCCATGCAGCACGTGAACCCAGAACCCAAACAGCCCATAGAGAAGAGACTGGAAAAATAGTGGCTCCACCCTCAGTCAAGAGCACAGCCTAGAGAAGAGAAGAAAGCAGAGGGCAGGCGGTGTAGGTGCTGGCCACGTTACGGTGGGGTACAACATCGGGCTGGAGAAACAGGAAGTAGTTCATTGGTAGCCAAGGGAAGGAGATGAGAAAATGGAAGTTGTGTAGATCTTGTGAGTTGTACAGATCTTAAGGATACAGTGCCAACCATCTCACTTGTGAAAAAAAATCCAAAGTAATATTTTGGGTTGAATTAAGCTACATATTAGAAGGCTAATATCTAATGACTCCTAGCAAGAATGCAAAGATGGTTCAATCTTAGAAAATCTATTGTTAAAATAGTCATCATATTTACAGGGCAAAGGGGAAAACCACCAGATCGCTGCAGTTAGCTAGAAATAGCTGATTTCATTCACGGAATAAAGGCTGTCTGAAATAATAACCCACAGTTAATGATAAATGCAATCCCTTAAACTAGGAATGAGACAGATATCCATGACCACTGCTATGATTCAACATTGTTTATAACTGTCCCAAAAGTGCGATAAAACACTGGAAACAGAACTTTGCATAGCAGGGGATACAGCACCCCGTTACTTCCGGCATCCTCTGCTTCCACCCATCAGTTACCTCCCCACTGGAGCTTGTCATCCCAGAAACGACACCACTTGCTCAATTCAATCTCAGTACCCCCAAATCTTACATCTCATTCCTGCACCAGGAGCAAGTGTGTTTCCTTTGATTCAGTTAAGTTCCATAGCAAGTCCCTACTATGTGTAGGCATTCTGCTAGCAACAGGGGACAAAAGGGACAACATAAGATGCTGTTCCTGTCCCCAAGAAAGTCATAAAACCAAACTTATGCAACATATAGTTGATTTCTAATGACACAGTAGCCAGGTTGTACAGTGTTGTGGATACAGGGCTGCAAGATGCCGGAGTCTGCATCTTCCCTATCATTACTTCACATTCCTGAACTCAATTTCTTGACTGATAAATGGAGGTACTGCATAACTCATTGGCTGTTAGGAGAGTACAGTCAGATAGAGAATATACATGTTTGGCACAGAATCTGGGGCTTAGGGAATAGTCAATAAATGCTAGCTATATTACTGTTATTTCATTACTAGAAGCCCAGTACAGGAAATTCATGCACTGGGGGGAGGGGGGGGGGGGAGGCGGGGGGCGGGGGGAAGTCCCTCAGCCTGGATTGTGAGAGGGTGCAGGCCAGGCCAAGGGACCCCACTGGTGCACGGGTGCACAATCGGGGCTGGGGAGGGATGCAGGAGGTTGGCCAGCCAGGGAGGGACCACAGGAGGGCTCCAGGGCATGTCTGACCCATCTTGTTCAGTCCCGATCGCCCAGACCCCAGCAGCAAACTAACCTACTGGTGGGAGCGTCTGCCCCCTGGTGGTCAGTGCAGGTCATAGTGACTGGTCAACTGGTCAACTGTGTGCCCCCTGTTGGCCAGTGCACGTCATAGCGACTGGTCGACCAGTCGACTGTCTGCCCCCTGGTGGTCAGTGCACATCATAGTGAGCAGTTGAGCAGCCTTAGCATATCATTAGCATATTACGCTTTGATTGGTTGAATGGCCGACCGGACACTTAGCATATTAGGTTTTTATTGTATAGGATTATTTTATCATTATTACTCACTGCCCTCCTTTACTATGTGTCCATTTTTATTATGGAGATTTAACCATTTCTGAGTGAACTGGTATCAAGCAGTGGTCTCTTCCTGAGAATAGTACATCTGACCTTCACACCTGACCCCTTCCGGGAGCGCCTTTCAAACCCCAGCATGCAGCGGGTCTCTCAGGCTGGGCGGCAGAATCCCGCGCCCCACCCTCAGACAGACTCTGACTCAGTAAGTCTGGAGTGACCTGCTCACCTGCTTTTCTAACAGGTGCCCAGGTGAGCGCATGCACAGAGCACACAGTAGGTAAAGTATAGACCTGGTACAACTCCTTAGGATGCCCATGCGGCCTCCCCGTAGAGCAACCGGTGGCCACAGCATGCTTAACACCTGCAATACCTGACTGTTTAGTCAGGGCCACTGACCTCTTTTCCCTGAGATTGTCACATAAAAAATGACAACAGCCAACACAACAATAGCCAGCCGGTGTGAAAGAATCCAAATTATACCTATTTTTTGTCAGATCGGCAAAAGCTATTTAATACATTTTGGTGTGCTGCCGAATTTTAGTAACTAGTTTATACGCCATGAGATAGGAAGGTTGAGAATCGCTGCCATAGAACACAAACTCATCTCTTGGGCCTTCCAGCGGCTGGGCTGGGCGCTCAGGGGGACTCATCCACCACATCGTCAGCTGCACCGACACAGGGCTAGGGAGCCCTGACGTGCCGGGGAGCTGGCTGACTGGCCACACCTATGCAAGTGGACACAGCTCATCTTCTTCTCCCCGCCAGGGCCAGGGCCAGGGCCAGGGCCAGGGCCAGGGCCGCACCCTTCCCCGAGCGGAACTGACACGGCACCATCAGAGGAGAGCACGCATCCCTCGGAGGGTGGGGACCTCACAGCCGCCCCCGAGCGTGCTCTGCACAGCAAGAGCACTGCATTCTCAAGCCGCCTCACAACTAGTGGTGTGCAGTGACCTGCCCTCAGCGGCTACTTCCCGTGACCGAGGCTGAGTCCACCCTCTCCCAACCCTTCAGGCTCCTTTCCTCCACTCCCTCGGTCCGTCCTCTGCCGGGGCCAACAGTTTCTGCGGGAGGAATGGAGCGGAGCTGGTTCTGGGACTGACACTGGGGCGCTCACAGCTCCAGGAGCCGTGGCCCCTCACAGCTGCATCATGAGCGGCTGACAGCAGTTACAGGCCTGACCCGCCTAAAGCTGTTCAAAGTCAAGTCCTTTTCCCAGCAGCGAGAGAGCCGCCGTGTGTGGAGGGAGCCACTCTCAAGCCCACGCGTGGCCACGGACTTTGATTTGCCTTGAGAAATGCTTCTTTTCTATCTGGTTAAAATCCAGCAGATGGTACAGCGTGCTCCCCCCGCACAGTTCACTGCACCGCTGGCCGCGAGTGGGCGTGAGCTCACCGATTCACAGGAATGCTCAATCTGAGGGAGAGGTAAAGCAGCCTGGTTTGGGGGTTGTGAGCAAAAGAGACCAAATTTAGCCTTATCTCTCACACTCTGAATTTATTACAAAGAGAATGAATCCTTTTATTAATGGTGTATTCATCTTTTTAAAAATTCAGTATGCACCTGTCCTGCCCTGGCCAATTTGGCTCACTGGATAGAGTGTCAGCCTGCAGACTGAAGGGTCCCAGGTTTGCACGTAGCTCAGTTGCAGGCTCAATCCTGGCCCTGGTCAGGGCGAGTGCGGGAGGCAACGAATCAATGTGCCTCTCTCACATCAATGTTTCTCTCTCTGTCTTCCCTCTCCCTTCCACTCTCTCTAAAAACTCCATGGGGAAAAATATCCTTGGGTGAAGATTAACAAAAAAACAAACAAAAAGAGGAATCCATTGTCCTGGCCTTGAGGGACCCCATCCTGTTTCCCAAAGACTGTAGAGCAAGGGGTCTGCAAAGAGACGCTTAAACACTCAGGGTCTGCATCACTGAGCGCTGGTGAGCCACGCATGGACACGGGACACCCTCAGCACATCCCCAGCATCCAAACAGGGGTGGAGGGAGAGAGGCTGACCAGGTGAAAAATCTCATAGCCACCCCTCTCTTTTCGCTACCCTGCCCTGCCCTTCCTCTATTCCAGTGACCCCGGCCTCCAGTTAACCCCAAGGGGAGCCCCCTGCCCTGCCACACCTTTGTAAACTGCAAGCTTCTTTAGCCCTCCTCTCACCAACCATTCCTGATTCCTGTTAGCTTATTCCTTCTTCTACCACAGGTTCTCTGATGCCGTGGCAGTGAGCACTGGCTCCATCAGTCTCCTTCCAGCCCCCTTTACTGGCCTTCCCCTAGGACCTCAGCTTATCTCTGATGACAGCGCAAGCACGCCCGGGGTCTCCGGCAGCCCACATTGGGCACGCGGTGGCCACAGGCCCCTAGGACAGCCGGCTCCCTGTCCTGCTGGCGTGGCACAGCCTGCACACATGGGCCTATCCATGTGGAGACAGACTTCCCGCTGGGAAGTCGCGGTGCCATTCTCACAGAAAGCCTGTCGAACCACGGCAACTGAAAGGATGGTGAAGAGCTGGTACCTGGGAATCAGGGGCCACATGATAATCTGACAAGCAGCTCAGGGGAGGCCTGCATGGCAGTCCTGCAAACACAGACCTAAAGTCACCACAAAGGATGGTCTGAAATTAAACTTTAACTAAAAGCAGTTATGGTGGGCAGTTACGTCCTTGGCCGGTTCACTGACAAGGTCAACCTTTACCTTAACTGGGCCTATGGTCCTTTTGCATCTATTATAACACCCTTGAAATGTCTGGGTAACTTGTAACTTCCTGTTTTCTGGACCTTGGGGCACAACTTAATGTGCTGGGCACCAGGAAAGAGACCACAAATTCCTTCATTATCATGTTAATTGTTCCTGCACCCACCTAAGCATGTGTCTATCATTTTACCTTTTATCCAATCCCAGGGGTTTCCCTGCTTTGCT